AGAGAGAAACTTGAAAGTGGAGAAGTGTGTACACCATATGTCAGCTCGGAAGAACAACTTGCAGATATCTTCACTAAAGGTCTCCATCATGTGCGGCACAAAGATTCGTGTGACAAGTTGGGCATGATTGACATCTATGCTCCAACTTGAGGAGGAGTGTTAGAATAATGTTAAAATAACTTAGTTGCAGATGTTAGGGCCTGTTTGTCTAATTAAAGTGTTTTTTTATTTCTGTTATGTCGGTTATTGTACTCAGGTGCACAAGGGTCTTTTCCCTTGTTATTTCTGCCGCCCTATATATAGTAAAATAAAGACTGGCGCCGCCAGTACTGTTACATTGCAAAACCTACTTTCTTCTCTCCTCTCTTCTCTTCTCTTCTCTTCTCTTCTCTTCCTCTTATTTCTGGCCGGCCAACACTGTCAAGAGGCCCCACATTCGTTCCTCTATTACTGATACTTAATTTTTTATCTGATAAATGGTTGGAAAATTCTCATTACTTAAAACAGGAAAAAGGGGGAAGTTTACTTATATGAGATTCAACTACATAGGATTTCAAAGAGCAATTAGAAGCAACATTTACAAATTCCCCTAAAAGGACAACCTGTTTAGTCAAAGATGATGCGATCCCACTGCTTCCTAAAATAAACTTGCTATACTCCAGAAAATTCTTTAATTACCCTAGACCATGTTATGATAATGTTCTCGATCTTGCCAATGATCAATCCCACTGTGGCACTTTTCTAATTGAAAATCTTATTGTTCTTTCCTACCACATCACTTAGAAAAGAGCAAAAGGCAAAATGTTCCAAAGGATCTTGCCTCTCATGTTTAATCCAATCAAAAGACCAAGAGGATAGACATGCCATTTTCTCCAGAACCACCTAATGGTGATTGAAAAGTCTCAAGAAATGAGCGTCAGATTTCATGGCCAACCTTGCAATTGATCAGCCAATGCCAATATCACATTGCCTTCCTTCTATCCACATAGCAAAAATTACCAATGTTCAATCTGTTTACAATCAGGTGATCCTTTACAAGAATTTTGTGAAGACTTATTGCGTACATAGAGAAGGAAAACCTTGGATAGAACATGAAACCTCCAAAATCTGCTTCCAAGGAAAGATTGACGGCTAGCACCCTCCATCTTAGAGAAAAGGATTTGATTGTAAAATAGTCTGATCTTTCCGCCATCCATTCTCTACCATCCTGACTTCCAAGGTGGACAATGCACCGGTTAAACTGAAGGTTTTTCAGCAGGAAATATTATCAAAAATTGGAAAGAAGTGGCTTACTCATCTTCCATTAAATCTGTGACTATTCCACTTTGGTCCCCTCCAGCTGTTGGCTTCACAAAACTGAATTTTGATGAAAGTAGTGAAGGCAACTCAGGCCCGTCTGGTATAGGAAGAATTTTTAGGGATATGGAAGGTAAAATTCTTGCCATGTTTTCCGGTCCCATTGCTGTAGGGATTCTTTAAGAGCTGAGGTTTTGGCGGCTCTGGAAGGGATAAGGAGAGGAAAGGAAATAAACATCAGACAATTGATTGTAGAAGGTGACTCAATGTTGGCCATTGGCTGGCTTCAAAAGGAAGAGAATGGGTTCTGGACGTTTTCAAATGAGAAAAAGTTGCATAAGAGGCTAACTCAATGACATGGAAATTAAGCTTCGCTTCAGTGGAGTAAAGGAAGTGCTAACTCCTTTGTGGTGAACTTGCAAAACAAGGGGTGGGAAGAGCTAATATGTTTCAGGCAATGCTGTAATACAATATTTATCTTGGGGAGGGTTAAGTGATTTTACCCCTCTCCTTGCTCTGTTGTATTTACTCTTTTTATTTTTCTAATAAAATTTCAGTTACTTACCAAAAAAATGCGCTGACTAAACTTACAATTGAGTTAATAAGATCTATTTCCGAATTATTGATGATGCATCTAAACTGAGGCCCAAATCACATTATGGCCCAATGGCATGAATTGGGAACAATGGCCTGGCCTTAACAATCCAAATTACCACCATTTCTTTTGGGCAATCTGGAAATATTATGCCATCTACAGGGGAAAGGACAATACATAAGATGCCTAGTACCATCCAATCAATCTCTATTTTGGATACATCAAATTACATATACATGGCATTTTGTAAGACAGCTTGCATCATATTATTGTATTTTATTTTGTAGACCCATTAGTACAAACTATGCATGTAGTGGAATCGTATATAATATAATATTAATTGTTAGCTTAGATATACTATACCCTTGGATATACACTTGGAAATCGTATATAATAAACAACTCATTAGTTTACACAATACTATACACTTGGATTTATCCTCCTCTTGCTCACCTCCCTCAGATATTAATGAGTTGTTTATCACTCAACCTGCTTCTTGCCACACAAAAAAGGTTCAAAATATTGATACAGGGTGATACACCGGTAGGGTGTATTGGCCTGTATCGGTACTGTTTTTTGTTTTATTTTTTATTTTTGAACCTGGTTCAGAGGGGCCAGTTTACTCCCCTGAACCACTCGCTGACCCGAAACACCCCCTGTAGGGGTGTATCGGGAAGGCTCCAATACGATACGTATCGGCCGATATGTGACGATATTTTGAACCTTGCACACAAAAAAAGAGAGAAATTATGTTGTTGCACTCAACCATCTTGTGGAATATTTTGGGATAATGGAATGCTAAGAATTTTTTAGAAAAAAAAAAGCTAAAGATACAAACTCAGTTGATCTCTAAGGTGAGAACCATTTATTGGGTTTTGGCCTGTGAAGACTTCAAGGAGGTTTCAATGGATTATCTGTTAAGGGGTTGGCAGACAGTTGCAAGTGTTTTATCAGGGACAACACAAAGAATGGTAGAGTGGAAGGGCCTAGAAACGGGTAAACTAAAGTTGAACTTTTACTTCTCTGATTTTTGTCCTACTGGTCAGCATTATGCTGTTCTTTATTTGTACATAGTTTCATCCAGATCCTTGAGAATCTGGTTCTTTTAGCTTGCGATAATAGCAATATATTATGTTGCTTATAAAAAATACTATATATGCATGTTTCCTTGATTGAAGCAGGTTGCTTTAATTTGGTATCAAATCTACATTCAACTGATGGCCTTTTCTTGTTCTTAATGTCTTTTGGCTATTTTACTTTTCAGGTCGAGAAAGCAAGGATTCACTATGAATCCCTTTCACTCTCATCAGCTTGTGAAGCTGTACTAGAGATTGGTAATGCTGGGAACTTGTACATGGATGATCATGCACCGTGGTCTCTTTTCAAGAAAGGGGGTGCTGCTTCAGAAGCTGCTGTGAAGGTTTCTTGTTTGACTCACTAATCATCTTGGATCCTCAATTTTCTTTTTCATAACCATGACATGAGAGACAAGTAGGAAGAGAAAAAGGGGGAAGGTAGGAATAAAATGAAAGATGATTAGGGTGAGTAAATTAAGTGTGGTTCATAACTAGCTCATATTCAATAAACCACTTCCCCCACATCTGCCCCCGTTCCCCCAATTATTTTTTAACAACTTCATTTCCTTATTTTTCCCCATTAAAAAAAAGAAATAAATTTTGCACTGGATCAGTCTTAGGAAACCATTGGCATTGGTTATAGAAGGTTAACCCAAGTAATATGATTCCCCTTTCTTTTCTCCAAAATAATTACAGTTTGCATCTGCTAGATTCTATGCTGAACCAAGTGAAGCAGGGCTACTTTTGAAGTTCTTACTGATAACTGATTCCTTTTATTATTGTGGGTCTTTTGTTCAGGATCTTGTTACCATATTGGAAGCTATGAGGATCATAGCCATTGCATTATCTCCTATTGCTCCAAGTTTAAGTTTAAGGATATATGCACAGCTTGGCTATTCAAAGGATCAATTTGATGCTACAACCTGGGTTTGTTTTCCCCTGCAGTTATATCAAGTTTAAAATCTAGGTTATAGGTTTCAATAATTGGATTGAGTGTTTTCATGTTCTTTGCAGAGTGATACCAAATGGGGTGGGCTGAAGCAGGGCCAGGTCATGGCTCAGCCCAAGCCTGTCTTTGCAAGGATCGAAAATCTAGTGGAAGGGGATAACAGAGAAGCAAGTGAAAGGCTAGTCAAAGATAAATCAAGGGTACCACAAACTCAGAGGTTTGCAGAAGCTTAGATCTATCTGGTTGCGGCTCAATAATGTCTATCCACATCAATTATAGTTTGATTTAATTAATTATTGGGTAGAAAATATATATTTGAAATATATTTTCTTAGCAGGTAGAAATTCTTTCTCGTCTCCTAACTCAAGTTTGTTTTGGGGAATGGGGATTTATTTTGTATCAGTTTGTATATGGCATTATGGAAGGATTCAAGAGGTATGAATTTGAGAATTGAAATGCATGATAGGGAATGGCAATGGGGCAGGGATCATATTCCCCATCCCCAACCCCAAATTTGGAATAAAATCCCCATTCCCGACCCCTATCCTTGTTGGGGATAAAAGTTGTCCTCCATCCCCAATCCTCGATTTCCTCGTGGGGACCCGAATCCCTAGATTTTTTTTAGTTAATAGTATTTTTTGAAAAAAAATTACTTAAAATAAATAAAATTTTTAAAATATCAATAATATCATATATATAATAATACTATAGATTTAATATATACTCGGGGTTGGGTCGGGTCGAGGTGGGGCGGGGACCTCATTCCCCATTCCCAACCCCGATGATCCTTATTAATCCCCATCCCTGACCCTATTGGGGATGGGGAAAATTGCCATCCCTACAGTACGGCCGATCCTTGGTCTGGGTCCTAGCCTTAGATTAGTCCAAGTGTCTGGGATTTGCCTGGTATGCACTGAACTAGCCAAGTGGTGTGCCACACATTTTCTTACTTTCACCAACCTTCTTCAGCCATTACCACCATCCGCCCCCTCCCTTGTGAGATTTGCCATTTCGACGACTCTAATCCCCACGATTGGATCTTCTAAGCCGAACGATATTTTGACTTCCATCATATTCCTGACGAGAAGAGGATTGATATAGCATCCTTTTACATGATCGGCAAGGCTCTGAGCTGGTTCTAGTGGATGCACAAGAATTGGCAGCTCTACCTAGAAGAACCTCACAATAGCCATCGAAGAAAGATTTGGTCCATCCTCCTTCGTCAACCACGAAGCCTCCCTATTCAAGCTCACCCAAACTTCTACCGTCTCTGAATACCAATCTTAATTTGAGACCATCACCAACAGGATCGATGGGTTGCCTGCTACAACCATTTTGAATTGTTTCCTCTCGGGTCTTAAAACAGAGATTCAGAGAGAATTAGCCGTCATGAACCCTGCCTCAATCTCGTCGGCTATTGCATTGGCAAAGTTGATCGAAGATAAGCTCCAGCATTATCCACCTCCAACCCACCCTCCTTCCACCACCCCTCGACCACTGCCACCATCCATAACTCTACTCCCTTCCACCAGCTCTGTTCTGACCAAACCTTCCCACAAACCACCGTTGTTGACCCTACCTCCACCTCCGAAGCTTCCCCTGCATATCCGTCATCTTACCCCATCAGAGCAGCAAGCTCGTCAGCATAAGGCTTGTGCTTCAATTGCTACGAGAAATACCGCCTAGGAATCCAATGGTTAGAAACTCTTGGCCCCGTTACAATTGAACATAAGGCCCTCACCATGTCCTTCCATCTCCAAGGGAACTAGATCAAACTACATGGCATCACTTCTCCTTCTAGTCCCACCCTGATTTCTCACAATCAGCTCCATCAATTGGTTTCAACTGACGTGGCAGCTGCTTTCTACCATATCGACTATCGAGGTGCAACGAGCCCTCCATTTTTCCACCCTCCTCCCTTTCAGGCCAAATTCCCATGGACACCCCACCAGACTTTCGAGCCTTGATCCTTAAATTCTCCCCTGTTTTTGACTCAACAACTCAACTACGACCCCATTGCCCAATTGAGCACCGTATTTCCCTCGTACCACAATCCTCCCCTGTCAACGTTTGCCCATACTGCTGCCCCCACTTCCAGAAAGAAGAAATCGAGCGTCAGGTGAAGGAAATTTTAAGAGCCCAACTCATCCGCCATAGTACCAGTGCCTTCTCCTCACCAGTCTTTCTAGTAAAGAAGAAAGATGGCTCATGGCGATTCTGTGTCGACTATAGAGACTTGAATGCAGTAACTACCAAAGATCAATTTCCGATCGCGACAGTAAGTTGCTCAACAAGTAAGATGGGGCTGCCTATTTTTCGAAAATTGATCTACGCTCCGGCTATTTCCAAACCCGAGTACATGAATCAGATGTGCCAAAAATGACTTTCTCAACAGACGAGGGCCATTATGAATTTCTCGTAATGCCTTTCGGCTTGTCGAATATGGTCCGGATACCTTTCAGGTTATAATGAACTCAATTTTCTGACGTATCTACGAAGGTATGCTTTGGTGTGTTTCGACGACATACTGGTTTACAGTTCCTCTTGAACTAACCATCTGCAGCACCTTGAGACGGTCAAGACTCTTTCGGACGACACGTTTTATGCTAAGCTATCTAAATATTCTTTTGGGAGGCGCGAGGTTGAGTATCTGGGGCATCTAATCTCTCAAGAGGGGGTTAAGGCCGATCCTCAGAAGATTTTGGCAATGGTTTCATGGCCTCAACCGACCACCATATCAGCACTCCGTGGTTTCCTTGGGTTATTACCGCAGGTTTTTCTGACACCATGCCACTATTGCAGCTCCTCTCACTGATCTCCTCAAACGGGATCATTTTTATTGGTCTCCAGCTGCTGCAGAAGCCTTTCATGCTCTCAAATCCACTATGGTATCTGTCCTTGTGTTGGCATTACCCAACTTTTCCATTCCCTTCACGGTGGAAACAGATGCATCGTCGACTGCTGTTGGGGTAATTCTCTCCCAGAACCACCACCCAATAGCTTATTTCAGCGCAAAATTGGGACCTCGGCTTCAGCAAGCTTCCACATATATTAAGGAGGAAGGCGATCACAGCTGTCGTTCATAAATGGCGGCAATACCTCCTTTATTAGGAGAATACCGGTTGAAGCAAGTTGCCATGAGTTTTACTCTCGCAATGAAATTTGTTATCAAGTTAGTTATGAATCGATTTTGGTAAATGCCACGCCAGCCTCCTTTGGATCCTTGTAATAAACACCTATATATTTGATAAGTTTAATGATGGAAATACAGCTTTTTCTTCGCCATTGTCCTGCTGCCATATAGTTTTATATGGTATCAGAGCTCCGGGCTCTTACCGAATAGATCTCCTCTTCCAATGATCAGAATTCACGCTTCTACCTCCATCCTTTTGATAGTCCTAGTACAGTGTGAATGGATGATGGATTCATCATATGGATGGCCGAACCCTGTAGGAAAGTTGGGCGAAATTTCAAAATTTTCTCTCTTCCATCTGGGAATCGCATCCCCTATTTTAGAAAATTGCATTTTCAATGATCATTTTTTAAACAAAACCGAACCAGATCTGAAACCATTAGGAAGTGAGGGATATACCTGATACGAAGTAGTAGTAACTCCCAATGAAGGTGTTCACGCCCAAGGAGAAAACCAAAACCCGCTTCCACTGAATATGACAGTGCGTGTTGAAGCAGGATTGGTAGGATGACTCTTCAGCAAGAACTAGGATTCTTCAGCAAGAATCGAACAAGGGCTGGTGAGCACGACTTCAGATTGCTTCTTCTGCCAAGAAGCAATACCAAGAACACTTCTTGATCACTTCCACAAGTGAAGATCGAACTGGGTAGGGGCGGCAAGAACATAGGAGAACTCTGTAGATTGTTGTGTCTTGAAACTGAGGAATTTGCCCCCTATTTATAGCCTTCTTAGGATCAACCTCTTAATTTAATTAGGAGAGAGTTTCTTGATCCAAATATGATATTTGGATCTGGACTCTTGAATGGATAAGACTTATCTTATCCTTTAGCTAATCCTAATCAGATTATAAATTATATCTTGCCCTTTTTAATTAACTAACTTAAGCCTAGTTCGAATTGGGCTTTAGGCCCATTAAGCTTATGTGCTCGTTTACTCCTTAACTTGTTGCCTAGTTGGTTATCTTTGTATGGCGTGGGACCCTTACATCGATCTATACATCAACCACATGGGTTCAGTCCAACCTTTGTTACAAGGCCTGGCCAAATTCACTGTAGGAAACAATGAACCCCTGAGTCCATCACAATGAACTCTTAATGAGCCTAACATTTACACTAGTGACATGGACATTATCATTTCGCCAACTCCTAAACCTGCTATAGCCCACCAACCTCACATAACCATCGTCCACTTTGCTCCAAGAGACCTCCTCCACACCTGGCTGATTATATTTGTCCAACACTTCAGTCACAAATTGACTCATGCAACACTCACTACCCAATCTCCAATTTAATAACTATGACTTCAATCCCCTCTACACAATTCGAGCCTTCTTGTTATAATGAAGCTAACAAGCATGACTGTTGGAAGCAAGCTATGTCAACTGAACTAGCTGCACTTAAGCAGACTCATACCTGGACATTAACTGACTTACCACTGGGAAAGACTCCCATTGGGTGTTGTTGGGTCTACAAAGTCAAGTTTAAGTCTGATGGAACTGTTGAGCGTTACAAAGTCCGCTTGGTAGAAAAAGGCTACACTCAAACTAAAGGCATTGATTATACAAAGACATATGCCCCAGTTGCTAAGCTCGTAACAGTACATTGCCTCTTAGCTCTGGCTGCAACCCGAAATTGGGAATTACATCAGATGGATGTGGACAATACATTCCTCCATGGCACTCTCCATGAAGAATATACATGATTCCTCCACCTGGACTTCTGCCTCCTAGGGATCAGCGTGTATGTCGCTTGAACAAATCCATTTATGGTCTCAAGCAAGCCTCACGTAATTGGTTTGAAACTCTAGCTCATGCTCTTCACCAACGGGGTTTCAAGCAATCAGTTGTTGATAATACCTTTTTTTACTTTAGTACAATTAGGCAGCATTTTTGTTATACTTGCATATGTTGATGACTTGGTGATTGCCAGAAATGATCTAGCTCGTATTTATGCTCTCAAGGATTACCTACGACAGTGCTTTCCAATTAAGGACCTCGAAGCCCTTCGATATTTTCTTGGAATTGAGATCTCCCAGTCTTCTTCCGACATTTTTCTCAGTCAATGGAAATATACCCTTGACATCCTTAAGGATGCATGCATGCTAGGTTGCAAACCTAATATGTTTCCCATTGCACAACAACATCATTTGGGACCTGAATCTGGCTTGCCAATTGCTTAATTTGATTAGTACAGGCGACTTGTGGGTCATATATGTTTCCCATTGCACAACAACATCATTTGGGACCTGAATCTGGCTT